TATATATATATATATATATATATATATATATATACGCGCACATACTTTACTGCAAAAGATCATTTTGGTATACTTTGTACATGAAATTTTAGCTCTATAAACATTTGAAATAATATACTACATACACAGAAATCCTATGATAGCTACCATACCTGACGCAGGCGCAGCCCCTACGATTCAACGACAGATAAAGCGGCGTTATGGTAGCGGAACTGCCAGTCGCTATGCGCTTACCTTAGTGCGTTTGTTACTTTTTTACATCGCCAAGATCGTACGTTAAACCCGTGTCGCGTGCAGCTGAGCTTCGTGCGCGGTTTAGCCGATGAACGAGAGTGATTAATAAAAACGATCGTTATTTTCGTACATGGCTATGAAATGGATGGAAAGCGCGTGAATATTTTCGCGAATGTATGTGTCATCGGGCTTAAAACCGGAAATTCTTTCTTTTCAAATCGTCATGAAAATTTCCATCGATCTTGCTACATTATTATTTCTAGTTTTATACAAAAGTATACCGCAGTTTTATATATTATATCGTTGTGACATGCATCCAGAAAAGTAACATGTCGACCTGCAATGGTTATTAGAGTCAAAATGAATAACGTAATCGATGTATTGATGGGGATAACAATATTTCTGCAAATTATGAATCTGTCGTAGATCCCTCATATTATCTTTTTCATCGCAGTAAAACTTGTTTTGAGGTGAATTACGGTCATTAGTAGTAACGGATTTCTTTTTGCTGTAGAATGGATACAAGCTCGTTAATTCCAGCGGGACTTCAAGGCGGGCAATCGAATTTGTGCGAGATACAAGCGGGATACAATAAGTTTTCAGAAAATTTGCGTAGATTCACACCGCAGTCTATACAGTGCGCTATATTTTGCGGTGGATCCAGATGCAAGTATGAAAATTCAAAGGCTTGGCCACCCGTCCACATGGCAATACAGAACATCTTTTCGCATTGGTGAGCATTATTGTCGTTTGTCAGATTTTAATAGGATGACAAGAAGTAAGATACAAACGGAGAAGCATTATTCACATAAATGTTGAACAAAAATGACACATTATTGACAAAAATATCTCCGTTGTTAAATATATTTGTCTCTTATTAATTAAAAAATTTCAGTTGTAATTTCCATTGTCGAGATAACTTTCGATGGTAACTTGGTTTCAAACACAAATTAACGTAACTCGGAATTGCAAGAATCAATCATTCACGTATCTAATTAATTATTATTTAGCGCAATTGCAAATTATCGTGAGATATGTATTTACTCAATTATATACACAGGTTTCCAGATTATTTCATTATAATATATATACATGTATAATGCAGTCTTGCAATATTCATAACACTCAATCGATTGTTTATGGCGAATTTAGGGAAATGCATTTTAGTTGAGCTATCTTGTTATTGACATTCTGTCGAAATATCGCTCGATCGCTGCAATGCTGAAGATTTATTTAGATCAGGGATACGCGTACTTGTGTATATATGTGTGTGTATGTATGGCGTGTATTAACATATGCCTCGTCGGTATAAATATTTCACGTATAAGTGAAATCAAATTAGCGTTGTACGTCCATCGATGCGAGAGCTCGATCTGAAAGGTCCCAGCATTTAAATATTTTAGGGTGACTGATGATGTCCTTGCGATGGCACGACCTAACACCGCACAAATAATAAAGAAGGATATAATTGCCCAATTTCAAGGGTGGAGCATAAAAACCATAATAAACCTGCAAACACCCGGCGAACACGCGAGCTGTGGGGGACCTCTCGAAGAGAGCGGTTTCACATATGATCCGAACATTTTTATGAAAAATGGCAGTAGGTATTAAACGTTTATTGGAATTTCTTTGCAATGCTTATTGACTGCTGTTAAGTTTTCGCCTTCTTCATTTTCTGCTGAGATTATTTTCGCAACTTTAATTTTCATTCCCGAAGTTACATTTTGAGGATAGGTATTATCATCAACATTAAACATTATGACTTATAATTTTCAAGTTGAAAAACAAAACTATTTACAGCGTAAAATTATGTGTATACGAAATACTTTGTGGTTATATGCAGCCATAACAATTTACGTCTTTTCTTAGAAAGATTAATATTCGCAGATTTTTTTCATCCCTGTGCTACTTTATAATAATATTCTTTGCGTTCTTTTCAAGCAGATAAAAAGGAATGTAATATATGTTAAATAAAAACAGCCTTAATATATTATTGCTATTTCCATTATGTACATTTCGTTTGCATCACGAACGTTGCAAATGACGCAACGTCTAAAGGGTTATTTATGCGAATCGATCTGTCTTTATCGCATTTTGCATTCATATGCAATATGCAATATGATATAGTGGGGCAATAACGATGGAAATCTCGATAAAACGGCAAAAAATTTCACTTTTAAGTCAGCAGGAGTTGTGATAGGATGAAGGGGAGCTCGTTTTTGTTAAATGAATGTGTAGAACCGTGGAAGCGTTTTTCCCCCAATCCTAACAACCACCGGCTAGATCGAAGAACTTCGCTGTAACATGCAATGCAGCAAAAGCATATATCTGTACGGAGGAGCGAAAGTCTCCGAGTGTATAACAACCGTTGTTTTCCGCTCATCGCTGTTGCCCCAGTAACATTCGGCATCAAGCTGTCCCAATTTGCCGACCATGTGAATCTCTTGCAGTTTACTATTACAATTTCGCCCTGAAGGATTATGGTGACGCTACGATGGGGAAGCTTCTGGATATGGTCAAGGTCGTGGCCTTCGCCGTGCAAGAAGGAAGAGTGGCCATTCACTGTCACGCCGGTAAATCGATTTTTCACACGATACACTTGACCCAATTTCATCTCTCTGCAGCTACCGCGGTTTTTTGAATGCATGACCATGTCAAATCAGCATGCATGCATAAATAAAAAGTATGTGACATTATTTTTGCTTTTTTACTTGTAATTCTCACATTTCTGCATATTCAACAATTTTTTTTATTTCTTGCTCTTTCTTATTTTTCCAACGGATTTCTCATCTGTATTCTGGTACGCTTGATTGAACGCTTCTTCGTTGACATAGATAGCTTATACGCACCTCTGTCAATGATCTGTAAGCTTTAAATATATCGACCTAAGCAAGCCGTGTTTATCGTGCGCGATATTACCGCGGTGCGTTGCGTGCATACAAAGTCGGCTAATGCACGTGTGCATCGTACTTCCGAATCTTTACGCCGTGCACGCGAATAACTTTCATCAAATACTAAAAGCAGGAAATAGGAATTTCAGTTAAGAACCCGTACACGGTCGTCGCGAATTTTAATTTGTAATTTAGCAACATATATACTGATCAGACGATCGGATTTTCAGCCATATTTCCCTCTATTCTGTCATTCAACGTTCGATACTATCTACTTGGCAGATTGCTTTCTTTGTAGTTTTTATATTTAGAAGGAATAATACTTCAGCAAATAATATATAAAAAAAACTACGAAATATTCGAGGGTTATTAGAAATTATCAAGAGATTTGGGTCCGCTGTTGTACAACTCCGTAAATAATTATTCAGTTGGGGAAAAGCGTGATTACCGACAATAAACCTAGATCCCTCAGTTTTTTTTTAACGTAATTTATTACCGTCACAAATGCGTCGTGCCGTAATCGTCGTGGGTAATTTTCATTTCATTAAAGCACAAAATACAGGTGGAACGATAAGAGATCCCAAATATTACGGCATTTATTTTTGCACCCGCATGTTTGTTTACGTGCAAATAATGCCCACGTCGAACTGCCGACGTGCTTTGAAGAGTTCAGTTACAGCTTAGACTCGCGGAGTAAGTGTCAAGTATAGAAGTTATGAACTTTATCGACATTATCGAACATAATCGGGAGGTAAATTTTGCTATGAAGCGGGCCTATTATTATTCAGAGTAGTGTTTAAAGACATGTAGGGTAAGCGTCTGTTTGAATCGATCGATCGGTTCCTTCGTAACGGTTGCGTCGAAACTACGGCGACTTTTACAATCACAAAAATTATCTACCTGTTTATATCTATGAACGAATCTACGCAGAGAGAAAATGCGTGAAAATTTACTTTAATTGTTGCTAAACTATTAAGCAAAAAATGTTTTTAAATGATTATGCAATCATGTTTATAAAAATATTTTTAATAGTCGTGAAACGCGTGAATTCATGTAATTGAGTTTAACTTTAGTATATATATGTGTATATTCATGATTGTTTGTACGTTTTAAAAATCAAAATTAATGAAATCAAATTTACGCTTGAAGAGTACAACGCGAACATAACGAGTGCCCTTAGGAAACTTATATTGTAGGATTTATTCCCACCAACATAGTGTTATCGCGATCGGTTGAATTGATTAGAATTCTGCAACTTTTTGAAATGTCTTGTGTGCATGCTATATGACTTAATTACAGAGAGAAGACATACAGCACTTTTATATTTTTACGTCAACCAGCGCCAGTTGATTTGGCGGATTGCGATAACATTCGGCAAACACGACATCGGATATCTCCGAGCACGTTCTCGCCTTCCGCTTTGGAAATTAGGCAACTGCAATTAACATTTTTGTTTCTGGCTTCTTCACTAATCAACCTGTAAAACATTTTGCGAACGACGCAGGCTTGATAAGCCGATGCTTAATTGCTATTACCGAAACCTAACGTGCCTATCTTTTCTATTTTAAGAATTTACCGCGCCCGAATGATGTTTTTCGCTTAAACTCCCGACGATCCCTTCATTTCATCAATATCATCTTCGATCTAGATACGTAATCTAGAATTAAGATCGCTTCTCTTTATTCCACGGAAATGATTACACCGAACACCGCTAAGAACGATTCGCGGTGACGTTGTTAGAAGTAATTAGATAGGATCGATTGTTCCATTGTAGACTGTAATTTGTGAAAATCTATCAAGTTTAGCCGTTAATGCAGAAAAACGTTTCACTTTCAGGTCTCGGCAGAACTGGTGTCCTGATCGCGTGCTACCTTATTTACAGTCTTCGTGTGAGAGCAAACGATGCAATAAGATTTGTCCGTATGAAGCGGCCATCCGCCATACAGACGCGCGGGCAAATACTTTGTATTCAGGAATTCGAGCATTTTGTACTTCCGCAAATGATAGTATTCCCTTTACACAGTACAACCGGGGACCGCAAGCCCTACAGCGTTCAATCGTACCTGAAGAAGCAACACAATATGTTACACGGATATGAGCAGCGCACTTTCAAGCATGTTCCAAAGGTGCGCATAAGTTTCCCAATTAGCTTTAATATCTCTGATTAATTAATTAATTGACACACTAAAACAGAATATCAATATCTGTTTAGATCTTCGCATATGGAAAATGAATAGATATTAATTTTGTGTTGTTGCGTTCATTACGCGGACAATGCGCAATGTACTGCGAATAATTAACGACTCGTATTCCCCAGATTATATTTATTATTTGCGAGCGAATACTTCAACTCTGCGACTGTCAAGAGGACAATTCGCCATCCGAAATTGCGTATGCCATCTCTAACGTGCCTTTCACGCAAAGGTTCATTTGCCACGTGTTGGAGAAATTCCGTGACGGCAAGGGTAACATACGGCACTCCTATTCATGGGCGGAGTCCCTTACGGACTCGTCCTACGAATACTCAAGTGAGAAGTATTACATTCATTTAGTTAATTAAGCAATTTTATGATATCCAATTAACCTTCGTCTATTCCTGGAATTATTTGATGAAATTCTATCGCTTATTAAAGTCTAAGACATGATATATATATATATATATCTTTCGCCCTTTGTGTTTTAAATATATTGTCCCATCGATTTAAAAATATTGAAGATAAAATTAACGCGTAGAATTAAAATGTGATTTAATTGATTTCAAAAGTCGCGTTTAAATTCGTAGAGAAGGTTTGTCATAAAGATTTCGTTCAACTGTATTCCACGACATCGTATTTACCAAAGAGTTATGTGCTATAGCTTCCACGAAAGCGTGCGGTAGTAGTAGTCAAGGATCGTCCCGAGACATTTCCGATGATATAGGAAGATTGAGCGATGTGTTTTGTATGTCACCGGATACCCCTTCTTGCGACTCCACATTTCCAGGTATTATTATCGACGAACTCGGGTGGTTGTACCATATCTTTCGTTCTAGATCGATTTTGATGTTATCTCGCCACAATAGAATGTAAATATATTTAACTGTCCGATTTAACATCACGACAGGTCTGGATGACAGCTGCATCGACGATGTCCTAGGGGATGGTATTCACGATCAGGACATACTCGATAATGACTGTTACAAGGAAATTCAGTCGCATATAGATTTAAGGAGCGTCGCCCGTAATGAAGCTTACGAAACGGTGACGGCCGAAGAAGCCATAAAAGCGCTAATCAAAGATAACACTTCTCTTTCGGATCCCGTAAAGAAACGTTTGCACAATTATCAGGTACTTTCTTTGTATAAAAAGAAAAGAACATTCTTATAAATGCTGTGATAATTTTGTAATAAGTATAATAACTGCGGAGTATTAATACCACACGTATTGAATGTTCAATCTCTGTGTCCGCAAATATCTCTAGAATCGTGAATAGTGAATCGGGTACAGTCTATAACACAATCTATAAGAGGAAAATATGAGCCAAGAATGATATAAGATCGCAAATATTACACGATATAGCCACGTACATTACTTTCGAGAGCGTTACAAAGTCGTGACACTGACTTAGTTAGCTCTAGTCATATCTAAGAATATATCGATTATCTCATCAAATTACTACTACTTATAGTGTAATTGTGATAATTTACTGTGTTATATAATCTAATAACACGTAATATGATATAACATAATACATTATAACATAATAAATTATATAGTATATTAGAATCCAACACACGTCAGTAGAATAATAGGATAAAATAATTGGTTTATACACAATGTTTCAGAAAATATGGAAACGTGTATTTTCAGAGTGACTTGAATCACCGATGTACCGCTTGGCAACGATTGGAATTGGAAACTAATTTGGAGATTCTGTCGGCACTGCTGTTCGAATGGCTGGAGGGTCTCAAGCATCCGCTTCTCGATGTTGATAGCCTCAGTTATATCGTCGTATGGAGTTCGAACCCGCAGCGGTGCCTTGGAAAATTATCCATTTGCACGAAATATTTACTGGAATATCTCTTCCGATTTGTCACCCGTCTGAGGCCCGTGACAGCTGAAAGCCAGAGTTTAATAACCAAAAGGCTCATGGCAGCCCTAACGCAGCAAACAATCTGGATTAAAAACTCCTTTCATCCCCCTAGTACATATTTCTCTTCTTTTATGGCTATTAATAGAATGATACAATTATAACAAACCTTCGGTACATATCGCGTAATATCGCTCCTTTTGCGCGTGCACTGTTGCAAAGTTAACCAAACGTTAGCAGGGTAATCTTCAGGAATAACATTTGGTTAAAGCCGTTTAGAAACACTTTGCATAATTGCAGAATTTTATTCTCTCCATCGGCACTATACCTCGTCTGCGTCGCATTGCGATCCCCAGAAATATTGATTTGTACCAGTCCTCTTTTGTCCTATTTATATTTCAGCATCAATAATCATAGTTTCTTTATGACGACAGTAAAGGGCACAGACTCATAGACACTTAGTCGTTGTATTATCGAACCGTCCAATCTTAATATAGATGTAACATGGCAACTTCTAACTTCAGTTAAACTTCTAATTTCAGATAAACATTTCCAGAAACTGCGACGGGGCACCGCTGGTAAGCTCAATGAATTCTTCGTTCGTTTGATGAACTTGATAGAGGAAGTCAACACCCAGGAAGTGGACAAGCCCCCGTGGACGTCGAAATGGGAATTATTATCTACTCATTTGCGAGATATGGAATGTCAGAAAAACAACGAGCAGGAGTGACGAACTCGCTAATTCAGCATTCTGACAGGTTTTATTCTAATTGCCAACGACATAGATATGCTCTTAATTGTTTGCTTAATCAGGTATGAATTATGATAAATAATTTATCGTATGCAAGTTTCCCACGGTATACATTTCAATAACTTTCGTTAATGTTGCGAAACATTTCTTGTCTGTAATAACAGCTGCGGGTAACCACGTGAGCGAAACGCGACTCTCTGTGGATTTGAGGGATATAATACTTTTGTAACGACACGAAATATGATACGTGGATAATATTTTTGTTACTGTAAGTCTCGTATCAATCATAGTATAAATTACTATTGTTCTGACCGCGATAAATTTGAAATTGTACACTGTGACGAATTACCTGTAATCGAGCACTTTCTGTTGTTCTTTCGATCGATAGCATTAGAAGAATCGACTTCCAATATTAGTAACGACTATGTGGACTTCTAAATCGCTTAATTTAAGTCTTATGTATTATAGTACATACATGGGTTCAGCTTTGGTCAACTCTGAATATATAAATAAGCGATTATGATCTTCAATATTTATTTTTACAACGAAGCATATACAGCGCGATTTGATCTTCGAATCGAATATCAACATAGTTAATGATATATACGTTGTATTAAGCCACAATTATATAAACAATTGTAACAAATAAAGGGAAATATTTTAGCAGTAATAGCGTATACCGATAAAATCGCTTTCTATCATAAAAATCGCCAATCTACGTGGTTTGAAACATTTTTAGGAAGCAACAATCTAAAATAAGTACTGGTAGTAAAAATTTGAGACACAGTTGTGTAGAAACGCAGATTATCATCATGCGGCAGTTGTGTCTAAGATCAATAATAGATATATACTACATTATCCATTGAAGATGAAACTATTCCGACGGCAGATAATGTTAGCTTATTTCTGCATTAGCATCCGTAATTGAGTAAACATTTCGTAATATCTTTCATAATATTTGTGAATTACGATATGTGAAAGATTACGATCGATATTTATTATATTTCATTCACAACGATATATAATTGTTTGATTGTCAGTTCGACTTATTATTACATATGGGTTAAACGCGTGCAATGAGATAGAGAATTAGATGGCTATTTTTAGCATTAAATATGTTGCACGACACGGACTTTCTAAATATAAAAAAGAAGAACGTTGAGAGATTTAATTTTGATATTTAGCCAAAATGTGTATAAAGAGATCGCTTTATAGAGATTAATATTTCAAGTTTTACGTATTTAAGTTTTACGAGTGTAATATCAAAAAATAGATACATTAAAAAATAATAATGAGTAACAAGAGATATTTAGGATCCCTTTATTAAATGCGTTAACAGGGAATTTGAAAACAGAATTCTTAAAGAGCTTAGAGTTCTCGTATTTTATACGTCGCAGTTTTATTAAGTATATATTCTTTCAAGATAATTCTATCAGCTAAGGTCTTAACACTAACGCTTATCTCGAACTAGAAAATGCGATTCCGTAAATTCTCTATTTACAGTATGATATAAGTGTTTCCTGCGACCTAGACATATATTCCCTAGATACATTAATTTACGTATATAAATCTCGATACGTCTAACAGGATTATCAAGCATTATACAAACGATGTCAGTCTTATACAAAGAAAGTACGGTGAAAATTATAATTCATCGGTACTTACAATTATTACTTAATCAGCTACTTCTACGCTCCGTGTCGTTACCATTCTCGACGCATAGAACGGAGGTTGATAAAAACAGTTGAAGAGAAATCGTGTACGGTTTTCTTTCAGTAACACATTTAATTTCTTAGTAAAATCGGTACATTTTTACAAGGCAACTTATCATACAAATACTTAACAAAGTAATTCAGACAATAAACGTTTCTAGGAGAATGATTTTCAACTTATGCCGGCGGTCTCCTATTCGATCGATTATACGGTCACTCTTTGCTTTTTGTTCCTTCATGACAGCTCGAATTGCGATAACAACTCCCTTGTGTTCTTTTTCCTCACAGGTTATCATAGATTATCGAAGAAAGGGGAGAAAAGGAAACTAGGTAATGCAGACAAATTATCTTCTTTAACGTTGCTCGACTGGCAGATTATACATATATTATTTTACGTTAAAACCGTATTCATTTGAACATCTTTGTAACATGTTTGATTTGCTTGCAAGGGAATGCTTCATTTGATGAGAATCGTTACGATGTGTCGCAATACACGCTCGTAAGAATGTCGAATGGAACGCGATGAAATTTGTGTGGTCAACTCTTGAACATGTCCATTTCGATCATAGCTATACGGTATATCGAAATTGTGCTATTAATCAATAATGTAATGACATGCTTATTCCACAAAATATGATGAATTGTCAGAGATTTATTTTCTCGGCGCGCCTTGTCGAATTTCTTCAGCAGTTTCATATGAAAAATGACAAAATTTGACAGAAATTCGCCGAAGTTTCCTTCAGGACCCGTACGATCATTCTACCCGCCTATTTTGTATATTTTTTTTTTTATTAAATAAATAAACGTTAGCGTCGATTTTTGGCACTGTTCATGTTGGACGCTTCGATCTATCTGATATGATTGCACAGAACCGCCATCGTCATTCTTAACAAGGCAAAATAATCAAACGCGTTCGGGTAAATATACATCAGGAACAGGTGATCGATTATCGGATTCGTTATCGGCAATTACGTTCGAGCATTTTGCAACGTTATATGGAAAATGACTGAAATCTATGATTTCCGCGGTATCGCGCGCCAGCACGATAACAATGAAACAATTTTCGTTGACTCGAATGCGAATCATTGATCGATCGCAAAGTCCGCGCGCGCATAGACCCCAACGTTGCTCCCGTCAACAAACGTAACAAAGAAAGAAACATTTATAATAGAGCGTCTATGACTGTAACATTGTCGTTATAATACACAAAGAAAGAAAGAAAGAAAGGTTCCAAGGTCGCGCAGACCCGCTCAAATCCGTCACGCGACGGGGCGCTTAATCGATCAGTGTTCAAACCAATTGTTAATTAATAATCATCCAGTCGACAGGTCCGGCTTTCTTTCGCTGCAACGTGACGAACGTTCACCCGGCAAGAAACGAGAAAAGTGTTCTTCCGTCGAGTTATACATATTTCTCCCGAGAACCCTCAGATTTCGCGTCGAAAATTAAATGCAGATGGGATACGGGTAACGTACGCGCGTGCATCCACATACACAATTACACCCATACACACACACGCACACAAGCCGCGATATCGGCGGAATCGTCCGTACGCGAATGACGTATGCGCAAATCCCTAATGCCTCGATGAGTTTAATTATTTACAGGAGAGTCTTCTATGTTATGTCAAGTCCTTAATCCATTATACATAATACATATAGACTTAGATTATTAATAGTACCGTACGCGAAAGCGAGCCCAAACGGCACTGAACCTCGCAAATTTCATCAGTGAACGATTACGGCACTCTCGCACGCATGCACACACGTATCACATACACGTACATTCGCACATTTTCTCTCTCTCTCTCTCTCTCTCTCTATCTACCTATTTTTCTCTTTCGCTCTTCGCGTTTTCCTGTCTAACTGTCTTTCACTTCTCTGTCTGAATGATTTAATTATTTCTTAACCCCGCAGAGGCTTCTTATACTCGGGACAAGTGTATGCAAATATCTGGTTCGTGGTTTAAATTATCTAGCGGGAGCTGCGCGAATTTCGTCAAGCTTCAACGAAAATATGTGCGCCGTTTAGTTAATCAAAGTCATGTCGTAATTGGCTTTAAATCGCTCAAGCTCGAAGCAAAAGTATTATTTATCTTTGCGATGCGAATAATTGAATTTGACGATAACAACAGCAATCGTGCATATAAACGAATATTTCTTCGATATTTTACAAACATGGAGAAAGAACAATCCGTGTATCGTCAAATGAAAGCTACGATATCAACATAAAAAGGATCATCAACCTGTCATTGACGAGAGAGATATTGCAGACCGCCTATGGAAATATACGTTGGGAATTATAGCTGCAAGCCTAGTTAATTCGCTTTCTGACCATCGAAAATTGCAAATTATAAAATACAGTAGTATTCGTGTCGTAATGATATTGCATCTCTCCTAGTTTTTCATCTTCACCGATCACTGAATCGCGGAAAAGACATGGCGCAACTGAACGAGCTTTCAAGATTCCCAAGCTCGACGAGTGTTCGTCGTCGTTTGAATACGCGCTAAGATAGCAAAAGATACCGACGCCTCGAGAAATTTGGAATTGTCCGTGTGTATCGGCGGACCTTCCGAACAATTCAAGGTATCCGTCGTACCGATATGAGCGCGCTTTCCATACTTGGTTTCAGGGGTCCGAGACTACGCATTTTAGAAGAAACCTACTGGCTTCGATTGGTGTGCATATAGTAGGACTAGGACTGGACGGGGAGAAAGTTCGTCGGAAGGGGCATTCGACATCTAATTTTCCTTATAATTTCAATACGTATACGTATTAATATATGTGTATATGCATACATAGTACTTTAATTTATTTATAGACTTCGTGTGTGCCAGAGAAGAGTAGGGAGATCATTAACGTGATATCTTGCCATTCGACATTTGATACATAATACGACAGCGTGGTACATCGTGGTCGCCTGTGATCCATATATCGTTGGAGAAACATTGATATACAATAGACTTAGCAACCAAGAACGATTCATAACGTATTATGTCCCTTACTTATATATGTATATATGTATATATAATTAAATATATAGTGGTCTTACTATATACTCGTCACGTATCACAGAAGAGGAAGTGCTATTAACTATAATATAATCTTCTTGAACGCGTAATACCTAACAACTCGAAATTTTCATGTTAATTATCCAAAACGTTGAAACACGAGCTTTCAATGCATTGGAACCTTGAAAAGCACCATTTCGCCACGGTACTGAGTCTATCCTATACCTTAGGAGTGATGCAGTGAAACGTGTTGTACGAAGAGAAATGAAGAAGAAAAAAAAGAAATAGAAAAAAGAAGAAAGAATTGTGAAACTCGATAACATTTTTATTCGCCGCGCGCGGGATGCGAGTGTGTGCGCGTTTGTATGTGTGTGTTTGCGTGTGCGTTTTTGTCCTCGTGTATATGTGTCCGTACTCGTGTACGTATAAAACGTCGCGTTAGCGATCTTCCCACTTGTCTCCGCTCGTAACATTCGCTCGAGTATCTCCGATGGTCTCGCAGCTCTACCGTTCATCTATCGTATCGTCCTGCACCGCGGACTTCCGGCTCGCTCGACTGGAAAGAAATTTAAAAGATCGTGCGCGCATGCATCGTATGCCGTAGCGCGCTCATTTACAAATATCGACCGCCTCGACCTGTTAATAACCGTTTAATGAATACGAAACTACTTACGATCATAACTTCGCTAGACTATACAGTGCTACGAACAGTAGCGGACGGGTACGCCGGGACGCATCCGGTCTCGTCACGGATGCGATTCTTAGTTTAACTGTCTGATACTGGGCCCCCCCTTTCTCGAGGGGGTAGGGCCCGCTTAATCGCGAGAATAACACATTGCTCTTCGTTCGCCGCGAGCGAACCTTAAGACTAAACTCAGTCGCTCCCGTACGTACCCACCACCACCACCACCACGGCTTCATCGATTTATTTCCTAGATTCAATCCCGCCGGACTGTCCGTTTTCGACCTTCCTCACCTCCCCGGTGGAACCGCGCGATGCTCTCTGACGATTTGCATTCTTCATCGACGGCCCGAATATCTGCGCGCTTATCGAATCGCGCAAATGTTTCTCCCTTCTTTTTTTGGAATTTGCGTCAATCTTTCAACGAACTTCAACCGTTCATTTACAGCCGGAATAAAAGACTGATTTATGCGAAATCAAGCGTAAAACTGTCACTTCGACACTGCAAATTGATCACATTAACACAATGTATCCGGGAGGTTGCTTCGCGCGCGAGGTAAACGTCCCAATAGCCGAACATCTGACGACGCTGGGCCAAGATCGTTTCATTACTCTTTCTTTTTATTTGGTCTTTGCACAACGGTTCGGACACATTTTCGCGAGTGGCGTCATATAAAGAGGTTACGATTGCAAGCTGCCACTGCTCATAACAGTAGCCGAAGTTTCAGTGGACGATGTCAATATTGATCCATTATTATACTTGATTTATTTGATATTATAAGAATATAATAAAGATGCTTGTATGTCTCTCTTGAATCCTCCGTTGCAGTTGCAGCGATGATCGGGTGTTTTGTATATTTCAACTGCTGTCATAAGCAATACGAGCTCGTGATGAGCGGCTCGCAATCGTTACGCCAACGTTCACTTGTGAAAATGTGTTCGAACCACAGCGCAAACGAGCGCACACTCTGAGGATAGGTTATAAAATCACTTGATAAGTTTTTAATTAACCCGCAACTCACTTGGACGGCTGTCAAATTCTCTCGACTATATACATGATTGTATACTGATGTGAAAAATGACCGAATTAAACAATTAACATTATAGAATGCTAAGGTAGAAAATATCCGAGATTAATAATGATGAGTTTCCGTCCGGACATAAGGACGTGTCCGACGATTGGCACTTTTACCGTAGCATAACGGCGTCACATCTCAATCGTGGCAGAATCATAGAAAGTTGTATGATGTAACGCAAAGTGAGAAGAGCTTAAAGCTTCTAGAATGCTGTATGTATATGTGTGTGTGTGTATCAGCGCGGAAAATATGATCACGAATCGCCGCGTCGGTTCCTCCGGCGAAGGCTACTCTCTTCCCGTTTTCGGGGGCGCCCGAGGAGGCGCGATGCCCCACCGTCGTCACATTAATTTCTAATGCAATGTACACAAGAGAGAGAGATATATGTATATGTATATATTTATGTATATGTCTATAGATATAGCCGCGGCTCCGGAACGGAAAGATCATCGAGAGGAAAATAAAATACATCGTTGTTCGCAATTGCTTGAGTAAGGATATGGATCGAAGGATCGTTCCCGAATATCGGCGAGACGCCGGCGCTACCGGCGCCGAGCGTCGACGCCGAGCATCGTCCCGGTGGTGCGCTCGCGTCGCTCACGTCGACGCAGTGTCCTCTTTCCTTTTCATCTCTCTTTTCCTTCCTTTCACTCATTTGGTTGCTCCTGTTCGTTACCTTAAAGCCGCCACCATTAGCGCGTCGCGGCACAGATATGATGTGTTGAGGGGGGGGAGGGGGGTTCGTACGAAGGAGGAGTGGAGGGGG